TTTTCATGACTCTAGATTTAATGCCAATTAACTGATAATATTAATTATCAGTTTATGAAAATAAATTGAATGTAGAATACAGCTTTGTTTTCAAGTAACATGACTTTTATTTTATAACTGAGCATATTACCATAATAAATTGATAAGAAAAATATCACATTTTCCCATTAAGTATGTAGTTTAAATTTAATAGAATGTCTACGTTTTTGTTTTGCTTCAATATATATGTTCATTTTAAGGTGATGGATGTTCTTCAGCATTTACAACTATAAGTGTTGGGTGGTAGGAGGTAATTAACAGGTTACTTACTTATGTCTGTTACTCTTCGTGAAAGGGCATAGGCTGACCATCCAACTCTGTCCTGGGCGTCCCTTCCAGCTCTTTCCAGTTTTTATTCCTCTTTTTCATGTCTGCTTCAGATTCCAGCAGTAATGTGCTCTTTGGTCTCCCACTTTTCCGCTTCCCTTCAGGATTCCAAATTAGTGCTGGCCTCGTTACGCAGTTTGGTGATTTCCGTAATGTATGTCCTATCCACTTCCATTATCTTTCCCTGACTTCCTCTTCGGCTGGAAGCTGGTTTGCTCTTCCCCACAGTAGGCCGTTCCTGATGGTATCCTGACAATGGATGTTGAGTATCTCGCGAAGACAACTATTTATAAATACTTATACCATTTCGACGATGGTTGTACTAGTTCTCCCTATGGCAGAACTATCTCGACAACCGTGTTGAAAATTCTGACTTTGATATTGGTTGATATTGGTAGGTCTTCTAGAGATACTGTCGGTTTCAAGTCCGGGTAAATGAAGAGGGTTAGGCATGGGGTAGGCAACCTCATCCCACAGAAAAAAACTTGGCTAAAAACGCCAACTAGATTGAACAAATTAAACTAAATGAATATGTAACTTTAGATAAATGTTTTGTCGTGGTTGGGACATTTTTAGTGAGGTGTTTCTGTTATCTTATGGTAACTGATGGTATTCTGTGAAACCGAATTCTCATCTTACACTTTTTGAGTATTAGATATTACAAGCAAGTTATTCAGCGCTCGATTAGCATCCAGTGTGTATGAGATATTCACACTTGACCGATTGCTAAGAAGTTACCGTTTTCACTTAGACCAGTGGCTAACCAGTGTTGTCATTAGAATTACATCGTTAATTAAGGATTAGACAAACCTGATACTAGTCATTTCTCAGAGATAAATCAGTTATATATAACTATAAGTAATTAATAATAGCAAATGTTTTATAATTTACGGTGAAACTGTGAATTAAAATTTTCGAGTAGCTTAACACCAGAATATTATACGTTCTTGTTTTCACTTTAGACATCGATGAGATTTTAGAGATATTATAGTTAGTCTGAATGTTGATACTAGTATCTCTTCGACAGAATTCTATATGTGTTAGCATATACATTGAATATATATTTACATCATTTCTATCAAACAAAATCGTGGTATTTTGTAATAACATCGTAATTGTGATAAAACTGCATTAATTCGTCTCTGTAGATGTTTTTATTAATCCACATTCTAAATAATATCAAATTAAAACTGAATGACTAGCAGTGTTATTTTAGGATATTTTCATTGTAATAAAGAAAGCCAAATCACTTATTAGTCACACGTTATTACTTATTTTGAGTTGGAGGGTTTCAGTTTGTTTAAAATGTCTGTTTTACGAAGTAAATAATTTATGTTTGCATTTTTCTAACAGAAAAACCTAATTCAAGTGTAGCTGTCTAGTTGCTGGATAGAAATTGTAATTATATAGTCGAAACATAATAGTGAATATGGAGTTTTTATTGACGTCATCTAGCCAGGATGAAACTAGACATATTACATAAATTGCGTGCAATTTGTATCATCCTCTTTCTCTAGAATGAATACACACTGTTTGTACATTTAATTGAATTGAAAACCTTTGCCATGTTGAATTTGTGATGGGGATTTATTACTATCTTCAGATTCTACAATTATGTAACCAAATTAGCTTGTTTCAGACTTAAGGTTCTTCAAATGGTTGAAGCAGTAGCCATTCGGATGAAGAAATAAGAACTGTGCGTACAGAAGCAATATCTTCAATTACGTCTCTTACCCCGGCCAACCCCAAGGCGAACTAATCAATAGTAGTCTTAACTATTGAATTATCTAATTTGACTATTGTACTTACGACCTTTTGTAATCAAATGTATTTGTCTCTGTTATCTTTATTTACAAGTCTTTGTATTATTATCATTATTAACATTGGTTTAACATCATTAATATCAGAAGGGGTTTTGTGGAGATTGGAGTAATTTGAATAGTTGATATCATGAGTCAATTGAAGGTAGACCAACATGGAAAACCTGGAAGCACTGAACGGCCGTTTAGGCCTATTATGGGACTCCTTAGCAGTGCGGATCCACGACCCCGCCTCGCGAGATTTGAACCCAGGACGAACGCTTAACCACTAGACCACTGAGCAGTCATTCAACAATGTCAATGTCGAACTTCATTAAACATTATTAATCTCCCCTATACATGGTTCATTCACTTCTCATTCATCCCTCTTTATTACGTCTTACTAGTTTTTCAATATAGTCTTCGATTAAACATTTGATCGAATTGTAATTATACTATTATTTCTCTCACTCTATCTGACCCATATTTATTCTGATCAGTCTTAACTTCACTTTTTTCCAGTTTATTATCATTAAAATAAACTCAGAAAATTTTATAATAAAAAAATAGTATGATTAGTTTACGATATTTGCCAAATAGTTCCCCCACCTATGTATGATTTACAATGATGTTTAACTATTGAATTATACTCAAGTGATATACACCATAACGGGAAATCGTTTTTTTTTTGTTGTTGTTGTTTAGTTTCTATATTTAGCTAGTTGTTATATTCATTTACAGACTGGAACAGTATTTGCTAATTGATTTTTTTGTTCTATTAATTATTTAACCTTTTTTTTATTAGTATCATCTATAATTAGTAGATTCAGTCTAAGTTAAACAAACTGACTTTATGTTAATAATATTTTTTCTCAAATATTTATTGTTATTTAGGGAACTATTAAGTCTATTTGTGTATATGTATGTTTTAGATATAACTAAAGTAACAATTATTGTTTAAAAGTTATCTAACTCACTGAACATTTGACTATTTATGTATTATACAGTAGAAACATAGTTATTCATTTCAGTGACTTGATAAATCAAACTATTATTTCATGATAACAATAATCATAGCTAATGGTTGGAGGTAGTCAACAGGAAACTTGTCACTCGTCAGAAAATTGTATCTGTATTGTTGAGGAATCTGATGTTCCTTGACGGATTCGATCAGTCGCAATGTCGAATCAAAGTGCATCTTGATCGATAGGATTCGATCTGCACTAAGAAGGACCTGACATACATAACACTGATCACCAGCCAGTGATCAATCAATTGTAAACGATTATAGCAATAATCCTAATTCAAGTGAAAGATAAAATACCTGAATAATATTTTCTTATTTATTTCATTTAGATTCAGACGGCATAAGTTCTTATTGATGTATTGAATATTAAAAAAGAAGGTATTAATAAATGTTTTTATGTGCATACAATTCTTTAAGGCTTAAAACTAATGATACATAAAAACTTTCGTTTTTAATTGATTTATTTCGAAAATCGAAAACCAAGTAAACAGGGAAATTATGGATGAAACAGTGATAGTGTGTTTATTAGCTGGATAGGATAAAACAATAAAATAATCACTAAAAATTGGAAAAAAAAAATTTTTTTGGATTGGAATAAAGAAGTAGTTATCATTTTAACTTGTTGAACTGATTTATTATTAAGAAATAGATAAACGGGTTCGAATCCTGCGGGGCGGAGTCGTGGATGCGCACTGCTGAGGAGTCCCACAATTGGACGAAAAGGCCATCCAGTGCTTCTAGGTTTTTCATGGTGGTCTAACTTCAATCGACTCATGATCTCAACTATTGAAATGGATATCTCATTTTTAACTTAAGAACTATTTCATTTTAGGATCATTTAATAAATAGGACGAAACTTGCTTCCTGGATTCCACTGCTAGCTACTATCATGCAGTAAAGCTTGGTTTAACTTTATTAATTGAAAAAACTGTTTGGAAAGCAACTATAAATGAAGCATGAAATAATGCGACGAAATAATTGATTCTTTTTTGAGTCATAAGGATTGAGTACATACTTTCTGTTTGATGTTTTAAAAATATCAATGATTTCTATTGAAATCATTGGACGGAATCCTTTGAAACCAGTCACAATGATTAGGTGATTTTACCTTTCGTATTTCTGTAAATGTTGAGATGCAATACTGTTTCATAATGTTTCTCACTCGATTTTATTCATCTTCTTTCTTTCTATAAGTTCAGGAACCTTTGACTTCAACCTTATAAAGTATTCTCTGTGTGTGCTGATATAGTTTGTGACAATTTAGGCCGATACTCATATGCCTCTATACACATTCCCTTCGTTCATTATGATAAAATCAGTTTATTATTACACAAATAAATAAAAACGATGAATAATATTTTCTACATTCTTAAATAAGGATTATACTTTAGTTAAAACTTCAAGAAATTATCCGCATTGATAAAGGTGAGGATATTGATCGACCTGATAACTATTGCAGTGGTTGAGAAATGACTGCTAGCTAGTAAATATTTGACTAATTACTACTTGTTATAGAAAATATAAAAACTAATCCATCCAGTTGCACCGTAATACAATCTTGAGACGAATGAAGAATGATTCTAGGGCCAATTTCGCTGGCAATAATACATTATATATGATATATATAAAGTTAATTTTTCGTTGCATATTGTAATAACAAACACACGAATTTTAATTTCAGGTTTAATGTTAAACTGTTTACAAGTACAAACATTGTGAATATATTACTAAGTGAACGCCTAAACCATGTGAGGAGTTGTATATTTCAAAGTTAATATAAGATTTAAGTCATAAACATTTTTACTTACCTTATTAAATTGTTATTAATATCATTAGAAAATGTACGATTATATGAGATGTTTGGTGATGGTTGACAAGATAATGATAACTGTGGCCGATAAGCTGATTTATAAAATGAATTTCTTTGTAATGTATAAAACGGTATACAATTATTTTGTGATAGAATTATATAAGTTGACCGGTCAAGACTATTACTATTACTAACATTAGTAGAAATGATGCTGTCACTTTGTTTTGTACAAAATGATATAGTTTCATTTGTAGAAGAATTTGTGTTATAATTAGAAATAGTAAATAAATTTATCTCTCCATTTAAGGTAACGTTTGGACAAAACGATGTTTTTACTACAGTTTTATTTGAAGTCACTGATGAACTGGAATTTAATTCATGTATTAGATTTTTAACTGAATATATTGGTGATATATTCAGTAGTTTATCAGGGCACATATTTGATTGTATAGTGTTTGTTGTGATTGGATAGAATTTATCACTATCTTGTATATTATTTTGATTATTTTCACTCATTGAAATCGCTGTTTCAGACATGATATCATTCGTAGTACAATTTTTGTTCTTATTTTAGTTTATTCATCAATCTGTTTAATACATTCATATAGAAGATATAAAGAATATATGTATATATATATATTTAAATAAACAAAATAATTCCAAATTCTTTTCAATCACCTTAAATATAGTACAGTAGTAACTGTGTTTCTGAAACTGAACTAGTTCACTTGTAAAATTAATTTACACTACATAATAATGCTCCAATAAATAAATAACAAAGTAACCAATCAGAAATGGGTAATGATTATTACAGATTTAAACAATTACGAATAAAAACAAAATTTACAATACAGATTGGCAGAGACTAAAATTTATAATAATAATAATAAAATATTACTTCTTATTATCAGAATGGGTTTTGTGGAGATTTTTAGAAATTTCACAAGTTGAAATCATGAGTCAATTGAAGCTAGACCACCATGAGGAGTCCCGTACCGGGACGAAACGGCCGTCCAGTGCTTACAGGTTTTCCATGGTGGTCTAGCTTCAATTGACTCATGATTTCAACTTGTGAAATATTACTTCTATTTAGTTTATTCTTTAAAAAAAAGTGTTCTGAATGAGAAATGCGTTATAAGTCGTTATGTTTCTTTTTAAAATTTTATATAAAACACTCCATGATGCCACTAATTTATTTTTGTTTGTCATTAACAAATAACATTTGTATCCAAGTATGAAAAAATTCACTGATGAAAATTATGAATAATGATTTTGAGACTGTTCCCTTTATGAATCTAATTATTGAAATTAAATAATGTATTATCAGTTTCAAAATATAAACAATGTGATAAACTTGACTATTTTCAGGAAACATTGTATGTATAACCATAGCATCTAGACTTATTTATTTAGTATTCATACTTGATATACAAATCTAATTTTAGTTCAACTTATCTATTTAGAAACGTTGATAATGTTGTGCATTGAAAAAGAGTATTGCTTATAACATCCATGTGCAGTCGTAAAATTGTGGTGTTTGTCCGAACTAATAATTCCTTCGTAATTGATTATCTGCTGATTACGAATTCCAAATATAATACGTCCATTAGTGCTATCTAGCTAGTTCTATCTGCCTTAAATTTTACTATTTCAGGAATTCTTAGTTACCACGTTAATTTGAATACTTCGAATTATCATAAAAATCTAAACATTAATGTTAAGCTCACAATGGTAAAAATTCTCACTAAAAATAATTGGTATTTCACTCTGAATAACTTGAAGACTAATATAACAGGATATTTCTAAAGGAGATTCCATGCTTTGCTTTCTTGATTCAACAAGTTGGAAAATTTTAACATTTTTTTATAAACGTTCCAAACAAGCTAATGTGACTAATAAAAATTATAAATAAATTTATGAGCGATAAATTGACAAAGTTATGGCGACAATTAATCCATTTACTTTATGATTTCACACAGTTAGATCATATTAAAGTCTGTTTTAAAAGAGATCTATTCCAATCAGAACAATTCTGTTGTGAATTGTGCATAGTTCAGTTAGTTATTATGTACTTACCTACCTACTTACGTCTGTTACTCCCAATGGAATATAGTCCACCGACCAGCATTCTCCAACCCACTCCGTCTTGAGCATTCTTTTCTAGTTCTATCCATTTGTTGTTCATTTTTCTCATATCTATCTCCATTTCTTGGCGCAATGTATTCTTTGGTCTTCCTCTTCTCCTTAAGGATTTCATATGAGGGCTCGCCTTATGACGCAATTGGCCACTTTCCTCAATGTGTGTAATAAATATAAATTATGTAAGCAGTTGTGAAAGTCTTATTATTTTACTTCTGTATTCACCGTCTAGATTAGTTGATAAATAATTGATAATAGCATGAATTATCGATTAATACTAGTTGATTTGTTTTAAAGAAAATTTATTCAAGTATTTTATAAGAAGAAATGATATTACACTCACATTATTAGTGCTCTTCAGTTTATCTTCCGTAGCTAATGACAATAATTTAATCATTGTGACAGAGTGAACAAAATAAAAGAGGACAATATCAAAAGCATATTTTATACTTTATCAAAATATATATGTACTGACATTGTAAATGTCAATTGTTAAACAAATGAACACGTATGACCGTAAAATACGAGTATGTATAATGAATTTATATTTGTCACATCTATAAGTGATAATAAGAGCCTTTATTTTTAAAGACCGATATGATTTCTCTAACTGTTTACGCATATATGTTAAATAACAAATTAAAAAAAACATTGTATTTAACAAAGATTATGTAAAAGGGGATTTACCCCTGAATTTTCTTATCGTTTGAGTAAATCTATTTCTAAGTATTAATTAAAATAAAAGTGAATGATAAAAGATAAATATAAAAACTGTAATGCATCCGTGAGTATTGGATATTGAACGTCTAATGATAAGTTCCTGAAAGTCTTTTTATACTTCATCAACATTTATTATTATTTAGTGGAGATTGTTTACCTGATTTTAGTTTTGGATTGAGATCATGAACCGGTTGACGTTAGACAACCATGGAAAACCTGGAAAAACTGTATGGTCGTTTTGTACTGTTCTGGGACTCCTCAGCAGTGCGCATCCACGGTTCCGCTCGCGAGATTCCAACCCAGGATTGGGTGAAGTTGGACATTAACATTGTTGGATGTCGGCTCGGTAGCCTATAGGTTAGGCATTCGCATTCGAGATCGACAGGTCCTGGGTTCAGCGGAATCATTGATGAGCACTTCTGAGGAGTTCCATATTAGAACGAAACGGCCGTCCAATGCTTTCAGGTTTTCCATGGTGATCTAGCTATAACTGACTCATGAAGTCAACCATATTAAGATCTCCACAAAATCCCCCTTCTGATAAAACGGTTTATATAAGTAACTAGTAAATTATCAATAAATTAAATTATACCCACATAAGTTAAACTGATGTTAAATTAATTGACTTCATTTTTTATCACATGAATTAATTCCGACTTGATTTATTAGACACTGTTCTTTATAATATTAGTTAAAACACCAATGAATGTTTGACATAACTGAATGCTATTATTGTAGTGAACAAAAACACGGGTGGGAACAATCGAATGTATTTGAACACGGAATTACAGAAAATCTCACTAAAATCTGGGAACTATACAGTTAATACTTAATTTGCAAATTATCAATTCATTATCTCAAACATGATTGTTTCTTTTGCAAATATCAGTCCATCGTCTCAGATTTCGTTGTTCGTACAATTTCATACCGATTACTTTCCGTCCCCGTTCTTTCCTTCTCGATCCTCTACTGAAATACATTCTGTTCCTGACTATCGTTATATACTACTTATAAGTACATAAGTAGCGCACACCACAAGATTACAGTAATCATCAATTGATCCATTCAGACAAAAGTTTTACTCAGCATCATAAATATGAAAGTTAGTAAAACAAAAAACACCCAGTTACTCATCAAACAAAGAAAACACTCATATGAATAAGGAATATTTTATATAAAGAAAATTATGTTATTCATTTGAATAATAATATTACACTGAATAGAAAGATTTATTCTATATACATTAGTTTAATAATGAATCGAAAATAACTATCAACAACATCAAAAGATACCGAATTTATAAACGGATCATAATAAAAATGCAAACAAATACAATTTGTAACTTTCTCAAGTATTTAAGTTAAAAAAACAAAAAAATATAAAAAAAATACAGCGGCAATTTATTTGAAATACATTTTCTTGCCCAGAAACTACTGTTCAAATATCCTTTTTGTATATATATTAGCGCCAGGCGCTTAACCAACTAGACCACTGAGCCGGCATCCAATGGTGTTGATGTTTAAACTCAACCAATCCACGACATTGTGCGACCATCTTCCATCGTACTGAGGTAGACACCTGTTTCTACCCGACATGGATTAATCCATTGGTTACGGCTTCTCACCAGAACTCCGAGAATTTTCTCACGAAGCTAGTCACTAGTGAGGACATGGTAATTATTAGTATAGGGGTTGTGGAGATTGGTTAGTTTTTGATAGAAATCGTGAATCAATTGAAGCTAGACCACCATGGAAAACCTGGAAGCACTAGACAGCCGTTTCGTCCTAGTATGGGATCTGAGGAGGTCCTGGGTTCGGATGTCACGAGGTGCGGAATCGTGGATGCGCTCTGCTGAGAAGTCCCACACTAGGACGAAACGGTCGTCCAGTTCTTCCAGATTTTCCATGGTGGTCTATCCTCAATTGACTCATGATTTTAATCAAAAACTTAACAATCTCCACAACCCCTAAACTGATATCTTCTTTTTTCCTTAAGGTGTTAATATTAAGTTTTATTGTTAAATTTTATTCATTAAACTAGATATGAAGTAAAATTTTGATCTATTAGATTAACTTAAGAAATAAATAGATAAATTACTGTTGTTTTTTTTCTTCTCTCTTTTTTTAAAATTTTTGATTGGAAACAGACAAGGATTAGTGATTACTGGCTAAATGGTTAAAATAAGATTTCTTATTACAATAAAGTTATCTTCTAGAATTAAATTATTTTATTTTCATTGTAAATAAGATTATATTACTTAAATAATGAATAGATTTAGATTGAAAATTAATCATTCCCTAAGAAACAGACTATAATCATTGTCATATTATTCTTGAAAATGAAAATAATAATAATAATAATAATTAGTTCCAGTCTCTTGAAGTGGAATATAGTTCTTTCCTTTATTAATAGATTTATTACTTTCATAAAGGGTAAACTTTATCACTATAGTTTGTTTATTTTTATAGAAACGATTTTACTTACATTTTTATGTTAGTTATTTATGAATAGTAGTCGTTTGGTAGAATAGTGAACTGTAAAACATTTGTAGACAGGCTTTTTCTCTACTGAGGCTACAGTAGGTCTCGCTGTATCATGGACTTTCCATCTATTTATGAATTTCAGAGGATAGCCATTTTACAAATATATTTTTCTTTCTAATGTTTCACATTAACTCG